CGCGCACACACACATATACACACACGCACTCGCACACGCACATGTGCACCCTCTGCGATATTGCACTACAATGCTGAACATGCATATCAGATACATGCACGGGCACACATACGCGTGCATGCCCTCCTTCACGTGCGCACGAAGGGCTTTCGTATACAAACGCCCACACACGCATGCACAACACACCCGTGCGACCGTCACATGGCCACCGCATGGCCCCACAACCTACACAAGCCGACATCCCCGAGAACGACGATGAGCAACCGGCCTCCACCAACGCGTGGGTGCTCATGAAGCGCTCCCCGCTGAACGAGAACGTGAAGCCCCACTTCTTGTCCCGCGTGGTGAGCGCCAGGACCGACTTCTCTGAGAGTCTCAGGTCCCTGGCGTCGGCAACGACTGCACGGAATAGTTTGTTTATTTTTGGTTCTCCTCGAGCGCGCAGCCGACTGCCCCTACAAAGGCTATCAAGAACACGCGAATACACAACAAACACGAACCACGGGTGACGAGATGCCGGCAATATGCACCGAGCACACCCAGAGTCGCGCGAGGGTCAACCTGCAAAAGGTGAGCTAACACGTGAGACCTTGGCTCGTGCAGAAACTTGTGGCGATGCTTGCATTGTCTGGGGAAAGGATCAAAAGCACAACCAAGGAGGGGCAGGACGAGGAGGACAAGGAGGGAGAGGGGGAATCCAGCAATGCAACCGCCCTCGGCCACCGACGTCCAGCCGAAGGTTTATGCGCCCCTGGGACTGCACAGCCGCCAAGTATAAGCCCCACAGTACTCTATGTAATGAGCACAGAACCAGAGCCGGCACGGCGATGGGACGGGGTAGCGAACTGCACCGAACAACGAAAGACGCTGCCCCTCTAAGATAATGCTTTTTATGCGCCTGTGAGGCGGACGAGGAAGGGGGGCTCGAGTTGGGCATCGGCCTTCGCAGGGGGGCTTCAAGGTCTGAGAACAACACTCTGTGTGCAGCCATGACTCACAAAAAAACTCCGTTTCCTGCTTCAGCTCATAAAAGACTCCTACTCATCCTCCGCCCGTATTTATCCTCCTCTTCTTCCCATCACCCCCACTCCTCAATCTTCCTGCGCCCAAAACGTTCACGCCTTCTATCCTTCAACCGCGCCTCCCGTGCTGTTCGTCTTCCTACCCCCCTCCCCATTCACCCCTTTCCGTTATCCTACCTTTCTACTCATTCCTTCTCGGCCCACTGTTCTCACTCGAAAAACCACCCTGCGACAAAACAACCCAATAGGTCCTCGAAGGTTCGCACCTCGCTTCACTCTCGTACTCCAAATCCCCTCACGTCATCATCACGTGCCCCCACTCGACGATATGTTGATGACCCTCAAACTTCCCCCATGAGTTATCCTCCCTTTCGTATTGTCAATGCCCTTTCCTCCGCCTCATCCTGGGAGCCCGAGTGTGCGTGAGTTGGGCGCTGCAGGATGTGCACCAAGTATTAGAAACTGCAACCTCATCATGGGCAAGTGCCGCCGTAGTCTCAAACCACTGACTCAATCTTGCTTTCCGGCTGTCCACTCTCACTCAAGCTCCTCCACAACCACGTCTCATCTCGCTGCGCAGCCGATACTTGTTATACTCTCCACAACTAATTCCGCCCCGGGCGTGTTGGCCACTCCATAGGGGGAGGGGGAAACCATTCCACTGGACTCGGGCGGGGAATACAACCATCCCATTCCGCTCGAACCGTCACGCGGCAGTATGTTAGTCCACTCTACTCGGCAGCCGTCTACTCGGCACGTGGCAGCGCCCTGCGAGCGGACACACCACTGTTCAATTCTACGCGCCACGTGGCTGCGGAGCAGGCTGGAAACACTAGAGCAAGAATAGGGGGCCACATGCGAACCCTACCCCTACCCCCCAGGATTTTTGCTGGGGAGGGTGGGGTTCACTTTGTTCGGGAGCTCCCGAACGAAGTGAACCCCACCCTCCCCAGCAGAAATCCTGGGGGGTAGGGGTAGGGTTCGCATGTGGCCCCCTAAAAAAATTCCGCTGCACTCGTCACGCGGCCACGCCCGGGGGGCGGCACCAGTAGCTATCGCTCCGTGGCACCCGCCACGTGGCCACGCGGCGCGGTGGAACAGCAGCCCATTCGACGTTGCTGGTCACGAGGCCACGCGGGAGGAAGACATGGGGACGGTAAATCGGGAGCGGCAAAGAGGGGGGTGTCCAAGAGGGGGGGGCGCAAATCATGACGGGCGGCATGTGCGCGGCCCAGCGGGAGTACCAGGGACGTAATGAAATAAGGCATGAGATCTGGGGAGATATCATGGCCCCCGCCATGATATCCCCCCCCCCCTAGTCATCACCCCCCTCTTTTCCGCCCCCGAGTAAAGGAACGCGCGCGAAGGAGCACATCTCGCCTGCTGGGTGGAGAGGGGGAGGAGGCGCGGGGAGCCCGGGAGGGGGAGGGCCTGGACTCTGCGGGCGGGGAGAAGGGAGAGGGGAGGAGGGGGGGGGGGAACCCGGAAAGGAGGACAGTCTCCAATGCCCAGGGGGGAGGCCCATCCCCCCCCCCTTTGTCGTGTGGAGAAGGGTGTGCGAGGGGGGGGTCCGCACCCTCCGCGCGCTTCCTTCGCGGGGCATCGCTCTCTCAAACATCTCCACCATCTACGATCCAGGGAGGAAGAGGAAGAAGAGGAAGAGGAGGAAGAGGAGGAGGAGGAGGAGGAGGACGAGGATGAGGAGGAGGAGGAAGAGGAGGAGGAGGAGGAGAAGAGATTCCCGACTGAGGAGGAGAAAATATTCCCGACGTGAAGTCCCCACAGATGCACGGAACCAGGGAGGGCGGTGCCCAGAAGCCGTCTCTCGCTTGGCATCATTGGAACATCGATGTTGTACCTTTCGGGCTAAAACCCGGGCCCAACGCCCTCACCTCAACACAGCTTACATCCCGCGGTCATTTGCGTAAACATTCCGACGCTATGAAAGGCGGCTCGGTATCAAATCGCGGTACCTTACAGCTTCCCCGAAACACATGGAGGACTGGCGATTCCCTCTCAATGCTGTTGTGCGTGTTTACCGCTACGCGTTGAATATCAAACAGATCACTGATGCGTATTTCCGTGCTGGCAGGGTATTCAACATGCACTCTCATGGGGCCCAACACAAATCCAAGGGGAGCTCGCCGTAACACAACAAAACTAAGTGCACGCATTAACGTATGAGGAGAATTGGCACGGGAGAGCGTACTGCAGTATCAATGACGCGCGCTGGGATTACACTGCCCTAATCCTGCTGCTGATGTTACTCCTGCTTCTCCTCCTTTGCCCTTCGCCGCCTCGCCGTTCTCGATCACTGTCATCGTCCTCCTCGAGCCTCCCCCCATCCTTCCTCCCAAAACCGAGAGAAGCAAACACCGAAAACGTGTACACAACTGGGCGAGTGCCACTGCACACACTCTGCGCGCAATCGCTGCGCTGCCGGTTTCAGACGAGCACTGGGTTATGGTAAGAAGCACTCCTGTCGGAGTCTTGCTCTGGCCAGCCCTTCTGGCTAGCCCTGCTCAGGGCAATTATTCCCATTGGCTCCAGTAGCATCGCCGGGCAGCACAACAGAAGACAAGTTGTGCGTGCACGAACCAAGCGAGAGATGAAGACTCCGCGTGGAATCGACGCCCAGACACTCTGACCGCTGGGTGCTGCACAGAACAAGGCCGTGCGGCCCCTTGCGGGCCCCGGAAACGGCAGGGCCGTTTTTTCACCGTTTCCAAAAAAATGTCCCTTGAACATGGGAACGGCAAAAAACGGCTCCAGTATTGGAGCCGGAGCCGGAACCGGTTAAAAAACGGCGACGGAACCGGAAAAAAAACGGCGTCGGAACCGGCCAAAAACGGCAGAACGGAACGGGTAAAAAAACGGCCCTGTCGTTTCCAGGGCCCACTAAAGTGCGGCCCTTTAGCAAAACGTGGTTTAGTCAAAAACGACCTGAGGCCCAAACCTGGCGGGCGCAAGCCTGGAAAATAACGGCCACGGCGCCCCCTCGAGAACCGAAAACGGACACTTCACTAATCGACGTGTCACTGCTGGGGGTTCTGTCCACCCCCGAACAAAACAGGGCCGTGCGGCCCACCACTCCTGACCACGAGGCCCTCGCAGGCACACGGGTCGAGCTCTGCCGCCGTCTCCCGCCCCGGTTGGCCGCCACCCCCAGGCCTGATCACGGCGGGGAACGCGCTGTCCACCAGCTTGAAGGGCGCCGCGACGCGGCCTCTGTCCTCGGGGGCGGCAGGGCAGCAGCAGGGCCGCGAGCTCTTCTCGCCATCGCTCAGACGTCCATTCCCTGTGTTGTTTTCGGTTTCGTGCGCGGTTTGTTTCGCCAAATGATCAAGGATGCTCCTCGATGGTCCTCGCCGACGGAAAAATGCACACGTCCGAGCGATGCCAAGTCTTGCAGGCCTCGGGATCGACGACTGCCGAGACGAGCGAGGGGGAGAGGGGAGAGGGGGGAGGCATGCGCCCGCGGGCCTGGCGTGAGCCGCGCCTGCTGCGAGTGGGGCATGGCTCTTTCCGCGCTCGCGGCTCAAAGGTCGACCGACGACCGTGGTAAATCATGGACGAAGGGCCTCGTTTGAGGTGCAGACGGTCAGCTACGGGCCCCAGAGGTGCCTGAACAAACGCCTTCACACATCCCAGCACCTTTCGCGGCCAGTAAGGCAAAAAGGAGATGATACGCGAGCGTGGCCGCACGCAGTGCTGACAGACCGCGCACTGAAACAGCTGGCGGTGCTCCATGATGGAGCGCTTGTGCGAAGGCGCGCAAGACTCGGGTCGGGCGAAAGGGGGGATAGCAAAGGGGGTTTGAGAACCAGCTCACGTAGCTGATTTTCCCGGCGCCTCCCGGCGCCGGAGGCGGCCATGTATCGAGGAATGGGCCCCTCGGTGGGGCCGAAACCAGCTGCATGCAGCAAATTTCGTAAACCCCCCCTTTCCCTATCCCCCTCTTTCGTCCGGCCCGAAAGACGACCTGTTCACACTTGCGATGTGCACGTGGAATCTGAGACCCCCGTGTAAGTGGGAGCATGCCAGGGCTGGAAGCATCGGCAGGGGCGGGAACGAACCTGGCAGATGCAGGACTTTGTGGCGTAGGCTGGACACTGAACTCCAGACGATGGTGCCAGGGCTGAACCCCACAAAGTACGCCACACTGAACCCCACAAAGTTCATCTGGACAGTGATGCGAACAGGACAAGAGTGAACAACGTGGACCGAGCTGACCCCTGGAGGGCGAGGAGGGGGAGAGGACGGAGAGCGAGGACGAAGAAAACGATGGGGGACGAGGGGGCGTGAGGGAGGATGTGAGAGCAGTTGCCGCGAGATGCAGGAATAGGAGAACGAGAGAACAGACAGCTTCATGCACTCCAAGGCGAGGGTCCAGGAAGCCAAATATCTTCGGCCAATGGGCCTGCGACAACTTGCAGCTGGCACCTCCCGCAAGGGCGCCCGTCGACCCAGACTCGCCCGCAGCGGTCCCCGCTTCAAATGCAATGCTTCGCGGGTGGAAGAGGCGGAGGCTTGTTTTGAGGAAGAGGGGAGAAAGAGAGAGAGAGAGAGATAGGGCGCGAACATCCGCGAGGAGGCGGACGAGGCTGGAGATATGGGGGGAGGGGGAATGGGGGGCCGGGGAGGGGAGCGCGGCAGGAGCGGGGCGAGGAAGCAGAATGGGAGGGGGGAGCAGCGGGGCCAGAGCGAGGACTGGCCATCGCTCGGACGTCCATTCCCTGTGTTTTTTTCTCGGTTTCGTGCGTGGCTTTTTCGCCAAATGATCAAGGATGCTCCTCGATGGTCCTCCCCGAGAGGAAAATGCACACGTCCGAGCGATGCCAAGAGGACGAGGTGGAGCAGGGTGACCGGAAGCAGGGCCGCGAGCAGGCGCAACATGAGCAGGAGGAGCATGAGGGGCCGACGCAGGGGGGAGGGGCAGGGAGAAGAGGGCGAAGCTAGGGTTTGCGATAAAGGATGAGGGAGGCGGGAAGGCGGGTGGCGAAGGGACGGGGGGGCAAACTGAGGAGCAGGAAGAGGAGCAAGTCTCCCGCAAAGCCTTGCTTCCGAGGCAAACGGGGGCCCCCATCGGCAGTGCGAAAAGCAATCATCCCCGGGTGCGTCTCATGAGTGCGGGGCGACCCTCGCCATCGAGCTTCCGAAAGTGCGACCCAACCTGCCCGGGCAGGCGGGCGACGACACCTGCCCCCGCCCTCCTCCAATGGCCCCCCCCTTCCCTCCCCTACTTCTTTTTCTTGTCCTTCTTCTTCTTCTTCTTCTTTTTCTGCCCTTCTCCCACCAGCGCAAGCCGTTCCCGAGCGAACTGACGCTGTTCTCGGCTGTCCCGTCGGCCCCCCTTGGAGTTAGGGGTGCGGGTCCCACGCGGAGGCCGACTGGATTGAGAGAAGAGGAAGGAATATCAGGATGAGCACGAAATGCAAACACACAAACGGAACAACGGAAGCAAGAGGAGGGGGGGCAGGCGCAGGCAGGAACAGGAACGGCAAGCGAAGCACGAGGAGGGATAGGATTTGGCGCTCAGTGCATGCTAGCAGGCGGACGTGAAACGCAAAACCTGGGAGATGGAATGTAGCCAACACCAATTCGTGAACGATGCAAGCAGCCTCGCAACAAACGGCCCTACAATCGGACACTACAGAAACGCACCCACAGGAATAGGTTCTTCGAGAACCAACACTATGCTTGCATTGCTGGTGTGGAAGATAAGTGGTATCGGATTGTTCTTTGTCAAAAAATGTTCACATTCTGCTTATAATGGACTTGAAGTGGCACTCGCCAGAGCGTTCGTGCACGGCTCACTGAGCTGGCTGATTCGGCATTCTGCGGAACTGCAACCGCAACTCGCGCAAACTATCAATGTCCCGTTGGGTGTTACCTTGAGGTGCGTCTTTCCCCTGGCATTACCTGCACAAGGGCGGTCACGATAGGCTTGTGCCCCAAACACAGCCGAAGTCTAAATGCGATGGGTCATGCTGCGTCTCACGCATCGCTGACAGGCCCGACGGCGACCGCGCCCGACATCAGAAGGGGGGGGCAGGAGGAAGACAAGGAACGCCAGAAGAGCGTTTGCAGCAGGCACGCACTGATGAGCACCATGCTGCGCGCTGCAGACGCAGACGCCCGCCTCGCCAGATGGCCCCACAGCTGCAGCCGAGAAGGGGCAGCGCAATGCCCTCGGCAAGGGGCCATCGACATCCGATCCACCACCGAAACGCGGGCGCCGTGAGGAGAAGCACGGCCTGTGGACCATCAAAGGGGATTAAAAGTAACAGCCGGATGTGGTCAAAACCGTTCTGGGTAAGAGGGCCGCATCGACGATCGGCGGTTCAACGATCGACGGATTGATTAAAGGACCGACGATCATCGACGACCATCGACGTCGACTATCCTTGAATCGATCCCGATCCCCACGGGCATGGCCTGGGCCGCACTGACCGATTTGCGCCCCTAGATGGGGATATAGGCTGTTCGCTTCGAGTTTCGAGGGGCGGGGGGCCAAAGCGGGACATCAGGAAGAGAAGGGCAGGAGGAGGAGACGAAACAAGACAAAGCATTGAAACGGATTTCCGAATCGGCCTCGACGACCTAACTCATCGAGAAAACTCTGCGCGCCGATCTGGTCCTCCCTCGCAGACGCAAGTGGCCTGTCCGGAACCACCCGCGTGGCTCCATGCCGGGCGCCCCCCCGTGTCAGCGAGTGGCATGGGGGGGGGCCCTGCTTCGGGGGCCAGGACGCTGCCCCGCGCCATCGCGGGCAAGCCTCGCACGACGAGATGCGGCCCTTGGCCCCGAGCTCAGGAGGCGAGGGGGGAGGAAGAGAATGGAAGTTGCCCGTGCAGACGGAGACGAAAAAAGAGAAGGAACGAAGGCAGGCCCTCCCCCCGATCATCCCACATATCCCTCTCCCTCCCCTCTCCCCGCTCCGTGTCGCAAATCTCGCTGGCTCTCCTCCTCCTCCTCCTCCTCCTTCTCCTCAACAAATACACAGTATGAAAACTGTTCCCCTCTTCCCCCCCTGACCCCGTCCAGAAAAAATGCCCCGTCCTCACCAGGTTTGTTGCTTACGCAGAGGCTTGGGCAAACATAATGCTTCTCACGGTCGCGTTGCCATCCGACTGTTTTCGGTGTTTCGAACTGGTGCTCCCGCTGCAGCGTAGACCTCATCGTCAGATGGGCGCTGTGCTCCCATTCATCAGAATGGCGCTCTCGCCCCAGCGCGGGCCACTCGTCCTCGTCCTCCTCCTTCATCCTCCTATTCCTTTTGCTCATCTCCCCCTTTCAGATTGCGCTTAACACGATTGGATCTCTCAGGGAGGTCCAGGTCCGCGATGACACTCGTCCACATATAGATAACACTTAGCGCAATGGGACGGGATGGGTGTGAGGGGCGGGAGGTCCGATATGGCGCAAACGCACCTAGCTAATGATCCTCCCCTCCTCCCTCCTCCTGTCCCCTCCCCGCCAACGCTCCCCTCTCGTCGCCCTCCCCCCCCCCGCCCTCGCCCGTCCACGTCTCCCATTGTATCCCTCTCCTCTCGTCTCGCACGTCCACGTCGCCCGCTGCTCTCCTCCTCCAGTTCCTTAGCTTCCTCACCCCTCTCCCACCTCTCCATATCCCCCGGCCGCTGTTCTTCCCTGGCTCCTCTTCCCCCCTCCTCCCCTTCCTGCCCTCCCACCTGTCATGCAATATTTTTTATTCTATTGCCCGAGGGTGATCTGACAATCGCGACGACCTGCCCACTCCTCTCAGCTGATTGTCCTCGTCATTGCCAATTCTGGACGCCCGAAATGGGCACCGAAAGAATGGGTACAATGCCCAACAGCAATTCCTGTTCGTTTTGAACGCGACTCACTGTCCACGCCGCCGCGGCCTGTGCCCATTCGAGACAGAAGGCCGCCTGCCCAACAGCGGCCGCTGTTGGCTTGGGGCAACATTTGCTGTTGGGCATTGTACCCAATATTTCCGTGCCCATTTCGGGCGTCCAAACCAATGTGTCCTGCGTCTCCTCCTCTCCCCTGGACTTGATGACTTGACCGTGTTCAGAAAGGTCTCGGTGTATGGCAGGCCCCCCGCGAAGGGGAAATCTGGCATGGTAACGACCTCGTCGATGTCCATGAAAATGTGTTTCGGCCCAGTAAGTAAGTAGTCCTTGGGTGTGTACACCAATGTGTACACCAAAAATGCGTGAGAACGTGCGGAAATCTTGCCCAATGCAGCCGTGCTATCGATGCATCGTGCTTTCAATATCTTACTGAACCGCGCATGTGCAACCGTAGAAATCGATGCGAACGGCAATTGTGGTTCGAACTCGCTTCGACACATCTCCCTCGCTGCACTTACCCTGGCTGGCCGACATTGATGCCGCGCGGCCAGAAACAACAATGCAGCGCGCCGCGCTGCAGCGTGCATCCAGACACAGGCACCCTACGCCTGGTGAGAGCCGACTAAACTCACATCTATATCTCCACGGGATGCGAGATAGCATCTCGAATCACATCCCCAACTACTGGAATGGAAGTAACCCTCGAGTCCAACATGTACTTCGATGGCCAACGCATCTTTTCCATGCCACCACCCCGCTTGCGCGCCAATTTCTTCCAACCCATCCGTTTCAAGGCCCCCAAGTTCGAACGAACTAACATTGCTCCTGCCCCTCCCCTCAGTTGTCCCTCGCCACCCCCGCGCCTGCTCTTCCCTTCCGCCGTGTGGGTACCCCTGACATGCAACGTGCGCTGCCCCCGCCCACACGCACTTTCTGAGAGCCTGGGGGGCCCAAAACATTACGCGCAGTCGGAGCGTTGATCCAAGGGGCCCTAAATAAGGAACAAGGCTCCTTAGATCCACAAGTTGGACTTCGATTTCCCATCGAAAACCAAAGCAAAACCCAAGGCAAACTGTGCAGCAATCAAGGAACACGGAGCCCCTCCCCAACGAAAAGGGTTCCTTCTTCAGGGCCCCGACTGTGCCTCCCTCCGTATCCCCGGTCGCGGAACCGCCACCACTTCCTGAACCCCTGGAGCCCTGGAGGCTCTAGCGGAGATGCGTCTTACGAGGGCCCTGCGGAGCGTCGGAAAGGAATTGGGCTTTCCGCAGTAGGACAAGGCGACTTTATGCGGTGGCTTGCGCGGGCCGCCCGCCAGCTGGGCACCCCGCGTTGAAACGACGGCGCTTTCGTGTGACCTCACGTGCGGCGCAGCTTACGCGCCAATGTCCGCGCAATTGGCTTCAGTTTTTGATGGCGGCCCAATGACTACCTGCCTTCCTGCTGAATGGGTGTTCGCGAGCGAAAAATTAATCTCAACTGCATCTTCTGAACAGCCGCGCAGTCCAGGGGGCGGCGCCTTGCGGAGAACCAAATGCAATTGCAAGACCCCGTGACGTCGATCCATACTCAACGCACCAGACATAACACAGCAGCGGGACGTTTTGAATGCAAATCGCCAACGCATCAAGCAAAGACTCCAACGCGGGATCACCTGGTCGCCACCGAAAACCCGGACACACCGGCCAAAACCGCATGGCAAGAGACGATGAGAGCAGCCGAATGCCAAACCGTGACTCATGGCGAGACCATGTCCGTGATGCGCGCACGTGGCCCGTGCGAAAACGAAATGCCATTCTCGCCATGGTGCCGCGAAAATTTCATGGAATCCGACAAGCCATCCAGGCTCAGGTGGTTGAGGACGATGTTTCGGGCTCCTCTCGGGCGAGGCTGATTAGTGACGCCCCTTTTGTTGATCGCTGTCTGCCAAGATGGCCCCCAAGGCCTCTAATATGGACCCAAGGCAACCCAGAAAGGCCTCCCATATTGCTGCAACGGCACCCACATATCGCCCCAAGAAGCCTTCAAAAGGCCCCCATATCATCGAAAGACCAGCGAAGACAATATGGTTGACTTCGCGATCTGCTCAGGCTATTCCCGAGCATCGGTTCCACGGCCACTGCTTGCCCCCACACTGCACTGACCCAAGCAGCTCGTCCACGGCATGGCGATCTTAGGATCGCTGTCCACTGAGGCTCCGGTCCTACCAATGTCATGGGGCGGGTTGGAATGAGCGAGGCAGCTAATGGCAGAACTTTACTCTTCCTCCTGCTCATGCTTCTGCTCTTACACCTTCTCATCCCCTTCCCGCTGGGAGTGTTCTTCCGATTCCCTGTGGGAGGCAACGTCCCATCGAGAGTCTCACGAGAGGGGTGCCGAAGACATCGGGCCAGAGACGAGAACAATTCGAAATTGGCAGCGGAGGAACCCCCTTTCAGCTTCACCCCCCTGGCGCCCGACAGCTTCCAGGCTCCTCCTCCTGCTTTGGCCGCGAATCAAAGATCCTGAGGGGCACGGGTCCTGGGCAGGGCTGAACCTAAACGGTGTTTTTCGTGTTCGATGTGTTATCGTTTTCCCTCGTTTTGTCTTCAATCCGCCATAGCGCAAAACGACATCGAAACGAAAACAACCCAAAACGCCAAAACATCGTTTAGGTCCACCCCTTGTCCTGGATTGCGGGGCTGGGCCCAGCGATCGGCGTCTCGCCCTGCGCGCTCACTGCGACGGGAAGGCCGAGAGCAACAAAGAACCTCCTGCACCACCTCGATAAAGAAAAACCGAAACAAGCGTAAACTGTCGGAGGTCCGAACAGATTTCTTGAATCGGTACTGGCCCCCCCTCAGCAGGCGCGCAACACGCGCCAAGGGAGCCTGCGCGGATCCGAGCATACACATACGCATTTTTGCCTGACTCGATATCCCTTAATCGGGGATGGACAGACCCCTTTAGCAAAACGTGGTTTAGTGAAAACGACCTGAGGCCCAAACCTGGCGGGCACAAGCCTGGAAAATGACGGCCACGGCGCCCTCTCGAGAACCGAAAACGGACAATTCACTAATCGACGTGTCACTGTTGGGGGTTCTGTCCAGCCCCGACTTAAGACACCTCCTCCTCGTGGCGGTCCCGTCACCGTCACACGCGGCCTCAGCCACAGGACAGGGCAGAGACGCTGCCTGCGAGACTCACACCGAGGCGCGGGGGCGCCCACGCGGCTGCGGCTCCTGCAACTCCGTCAAGTTCTCTGCCTCGACCTCGGCGCCGCCCCACCCCTCCAGACTGCCCAAACGGGGCATCGTGTCCGTACCCCGTGATGGACAACGCTTGCTGTTGGGCACCCGTGCCAATCCTCGGTCACCCCCCCACTCCTGCTCACTCTGTAACCTCCCCCGCCTTGCTCGCCTCCATGCCCCAATATCACCCAAGGCCCCCCCATGTGGGGCCCGAGCGGATGGAGTCGGAGGATCGCGCCGCAAAGCCGATGCATTGGCGACGTGGCTCGATCCAGAACCTTCGCCGAGACGTCGCCGGCGCATGGGCGATGCGATCCTCTGGCTCCACCGCCGCATCTGCCCTTGCGGCGCGTCGAGGGGGGGACCCTCCGAGATGGGACGGCCAAAGACATGATGGTGCTTTGTCT